ACAAAAGAGCTCCATTTCAGTTCTGCAGAAGCAGAGAAAGAAATAAGTTGTTGATTTGAACAAATTCCAAGTATACAGAATTGTATGGAAGGAACGAACTTAAAAGTCTCCAGAACAGCCTTCCCCAATCTGGTGCCCTCTCCACAAGACGCACCTGACCATAAGACGCACCTAGTTTTTAGAGGAGGAAAACAAGAAAAAAAATATTCTGAACGAAACAGTGGATGTATGATTTTTGTGGTTCATGCTGTGGCCACAGACATGTGATTTGACGGTGAGTTTGGGGTAGTCTTGGGAGGGTTCCCTTGATTTACACATACCTTCAGCCGAAAATGTTATTCTGTTGGGCTCCAAAGCTGCCATTAACTTTCCCCCAATTTTTATGGTTATTGTTTTTATCATTGCATATGGTTTGATTTTTTTATTGTGTTTTATTGTATTGTGGTGGTTTTTTAATTGAGCCCTGCCTTGGAATTACATTGTAATGAAAAGCATGTCAGAAATGCCTTATATCTTTGAGTGGATATTTTGAATAATTTTTCTACTTTTGCTGACAGACAAAGAATCAGAAGTTTTCTCCTCACTCTCATTGTCATTTCTCTCTCTTTCCCTTTTCCCCTGTTTGTGTTTTTATTTAGATTAGCTTCTTTTACCTTTGATATTCTAAAAATATATTGGGTATTTGATACTAACTTTCATATCTTTTTTTCAAACTTTAATAAAATCTATGGGTGGGGAAAATGCTTTAAATACATCAATAAGAAAGCATACTGAAGAAAGCATACTGGGTTGAGAAAGACTGCTGACCTGGGAGCTTCCTTGATGTCTGGGATCTGTGTTTTAACCACTAAACCAGAAGTATTGAAGAGTTCTCACTCCCAAACCAGAAATAACATGGAACATTCGTGGATTTGACGCCCTGAAAGAGCACATGGCAAATATAACATGTAACTTCTTCCATGGAGGTGGGATTCTTTATCCCTAAGAGATGTAAAACATGAATCAGATTATAGTTAGGGCCAGATGTAGCCTTTGCTATATATTTTTTAATCTGCTCGGAATCCGAACATTGCAGCAAGCAACTAATTTCTGCAACCTGATTAAACTACACAAATTATGCACAGTCCCTGTCGTTTTACTGTTGTTGCATACTTTGTTTTGAAATGTTTACAGTGGTACCTCAGGTTACATACGCTTCAGGTTATAGATGCTTCAGGTTACAGACTCCGCTAACCCAGAAATAGTACCTTGGGTTAAGAACTTTGCTTCAGGATGAGAACAGAAATCATGCTCCTATGGCGCGGCGGCAGCGGGAGGCCCCATTAGCTAAAGTGGTGCTTCAGGTTAAGAACAGTTTCAGGTTAAGAACAGACCTCCAGAATGAATTAAGTTCTTAACCCGAGGTACCACTGTACTAATTTGCATAATTTATTCTGTTTTTGCTAGGCATTGCAAACATATCAAGAGTTCAAAAGTCCTTTTAAAAAGAAGGAAAGTCAAGAAGTGCCAGAAAACAATAATCAGGAATCTGAATGCTATGCTCCGTAACTACATTCCCTGCTCCTAAGACACCACAGCATGCAAATTCTGCTCCTCCATGTGTCACAAAAGCAGAAAGCTGAGAGTTAACCAGAGTGCGTAATATGAGAGGTGCCTTGAGACTCGGAAATCAGTTTAGTAACAAGCCCTGATGGCTCCTGAGTAGACCTATATATTAAATAAGACTAGCCAAGGACATTAGATGTGGGGAAGATTTCATCCTCTCCTGAACACTAGGATAGAAAAAACTATCCCTCCAAATACAGACATCGATACTCCTTATATAAGGATTCTTGTGTCTTCCCAAGCTAGGAATCCATGTGTGACTGTGGTAAAGCTTGTAAACTCATAAAGTCATAACATCTCATAAAAAAATCAAAGAGGCCAGAGGCTTTCTCAGACTTTCCACTGGGTGTCCCATTTGCAGTGTGTATTGTTTTGCTAAGTTCACGAGAGCTTGAAATGGCAAGGGAGGGCCTGGGAAAGGCAAATTCAAACCAGTTCCACTGTACCTCACCCCTATGCTTTTGTTCGGCATTGCAAAGAGGAAAAGAACACATGGGTCTGAAACCTAGACAGGGATGGGCAGAGAGCACTCTGAAAGTCCACAATGCCTCCCATGAACACCCAGACCAAAGACTTGCACAAGGAGGTAGTGATGGAAATGGGTGTCCCTCTCCCTAACTTGGCCAGAATTCCTTTAAGTGAGGCAAACACTTGGGAGACATGGGGATAAGAAAGGAATACACAAGAGTTGCAAGGACAGAATGTTACCAAGAAAGCATGAAAATGTTAATACTTACCAACACCCCAACCTTTGTACACATTAGATCTCCGATCTTAAGCAGCAGTCACCAGAGCTGGCTCTACTTCCTCAAAGTACAGGCGTGGGAGTGGCGGAGAACAGCAGTATTGAACTTTCACTGATTTTCTTTATAATCTGTATCAGCCTGGCACATGAAGGTAACTGAACAGCATCAGAAATATGTGAGGAGGGGCTGTGGCTCAGTAGTAAAGCACTTGCCTGCTCATCTGCCTATTCATGTCTGCTCATTTGCCTTTTCATTGCTATTATCCACAGTCATCTTAGTAAGTCCAAAGGAGAAGGAATATTGGGGGGGGGGGGGAGGTAGTAGAAGAGGAGTTTGGATTTGATATCCTGCTTTATCACTACCCGAAGGAGTCTCAAAGCGGCTAACATTCTCCTTTCCCTTCCTCCCCCACAACAAACACTCTGTGAGGTGAGTGGGGCTGAGAGACTTCAGAGAAGTGTGACTAGCCCAAGGTCACCCAGCAGCTGCATGTGGAGGAGCAGAGAGGCGAACCCAGTTCACCAGATTACGAGTCTACTGTTCTTAACCATTACACCACACTGGCTCTCAGTACCCATTTTTATCTTACTTTCGTGGAATCAGTGAAGTTGGAGTGGGCCTAGCTAGCCATCAAGCCCAACCCCTAGTCAGTGCAAAACCAAAACCCCAGAGCTAAAGCATGTCCAACAGATTCTAGGCCAGGGGTCAACATGGTGTCCTTGAGGTGTTGATGCACTCCCAACTCCCATCAGCCTCAGCCAACATGGCTGATGATCCCACACCCCTCTTGGGCAGGGTGCTTGAACATTTGGAGGCTGTACAAGTCCAGGCACTCTTGGGAGAGGTGGATTATTTGGATCCATTTCAGGCTTTGTTCACATGCCTTGGTCACTCTCACAGATGACTTGTGCTGGGAGACTGGCAGGAGGAATGTCACCCTGTTATTTCTCCTGTACCTCAGCAGCTTTTTCATACCATTGATCTCCTGGATAGGCTTTGCAGAAATGAGGCACTACTTTCTAGAAGATCCTGCTCCTACCTGGAAGACCCCTCGGCTTTTGTGATATGGCATTTCGTAGAGCTCTATCTTGTTGCCCTACAGTAGTTAACTATTAGAAGATTCACAAAACTGCTGAGTGAAGTCAACCAGGGATTTGGAGTGCTGTGCTTTCGGTATGCTGATAACATCTAACTCTACTACTAATTTAATCTAATCCAGGTAAGGCTGCCAAAATACTAAATGGAAGTCTGAGGCCAGTGAGAATCTGAAGCTCAATTTGATGGTTCAGAGCTGGTTTATCTGACCTGGCCAGCAGTGTTCAGCCAGAATAGAATTAATCTGGCCCCGAAGGCTCAACATTGCATTTCTGGGGGCAATGATTGATTCAGCTTTATCACAGGAAGTCCAAATGGCTTCCATGGCAAGTAGCACCTTCCACCAACTGAGACTGGTCAAGTGTCACATGAAACCCCCTCTAAGACAGCGAGCCTATCCATGCTTTCATTTCATTATATCAACATCTTTGGAGACTTCAGTTATCCCAGAATGAAGGGTTGAATTCAAAAAGGTCATTGCATGAGAGAAGCAACTTCCACCCCTTTAAAAAATATGCTTCAGAAGGTTTGAGGAACCCCCAGAGCAGATGTGGGGTGGGGAGTAGAGGAGAGAGAGTGACAGCACCAGCAGTCGTTCTGCTCTGGCAATAACCACTATAAACAACCCACAGTTGTTGGAATACTGGTGGAGAATAAGGCAAGTGCCATAAGGTCAAAAGAGCCACACTGGTTGTCAGCCTATTTCTAGGCATAATTCAACTCCATGATGAATTTCAAAGCCTTTATATGGCTTAGGACCTGGGCATCTCAAAACCACCTCCTCCCATGTTTCTGTCTACCTATTCATGTAATTATTAGAGGCCCTTCTCTACGTGCCCCTGCCTTTTCATTCAGTTGTGGCACCCCGTTTATAGAATTCTTTGCCCAGGGAGGTCACAACATGGCACTGACAGATCTTGCAAGCAGCAGATGAAGGCCTTTTTATTTCCTGTTTACAGCAGATTGCTAGGTTGAATAACCATTATGGCTTTTTTTTTTTTTTGTCATGCTGATAGCATCTATACCTAAGGCTGGGGCAAAAATCCTTTAATAACTTTTTTAACATCTTATTAAGAAACCCTCTAACTTTCCATTCTGACAGCTTTGGATTCACATCTGCTTTTAACAGATCCGTATCATTGTCCCACCAGGGGATTCTAGGGACAATGCCATTCATCAGCTTGCTCAGACAGTAGCGGTACCTTTTTACAGGTAGTAAATATGCCTCGTAACCCTGTCTCTAACCTGTACAACAGCTTAACTGCAAAAAGTGGCCATGCAACGGGGCAAGATTCTTGCCACCTTGTTCCTTATCCATATTAACAACTACTTTATGGCCAACTTTTAACCTGTTAAGTATCCAAGAGGTACTCTGAAGACCCATGAGGAAAGCTTGCATGGCATACTCGAGGCAGCACTGACACCATAGCTGCCACTTGAAAGAGGCATATCCATTTATCCACATACCACCACTATTCAGTGTTACAAACTCTGTGACTGATGGAGAACTTTCTCCTTCCCATCTTTTTTCTCTTGTCTTTTATTCTTCCTTTTGCTCATCTTTTAAAGTCACGTATCTTTGGTTTATATTCTTGGCACGTATTATCAGTTCCTTTCTTCTCCTTGAAAGCCTCCTTCCCTCCCACTGTTAATCCTGATCCTGCTTTTCTTCTGTTCGGTTAGCTCTATGACAGTAAGGGTAGCAGAGTGCTAACCTTTTGCCCAAGCTGGATGATATCAACACAATGGGACAAGCTTTGTTTAGTTTCTAATAAAGCACTTGGAACAGACAGACCAGCCATGGCTTTGTTATATACAGTATTCACTTCAACTGCTGCTTTGTCTCCTCTTCTCTGGCTCTCGTTTCACCGTTTAGATTGCATGGATCTGCTTGGTTCATTGCTGTGTACAGCAGCCTTTAAGACCTTTAAAAATAAATATTTCTTTTCACAATTAACGATGTTTAATTTTCTTGAGAGATTATGTTCTTGCACAGAGGCTACTCTTCAAACATATGGAGAGGAGGCAGTTTGATTTACATGAACAGTCACAAAACGCCATAAAAAACACAACAGTGTGTATATAGAAACCTTGAAAAGTTTTCCCTCTTTGGCCAGAAACTGTTCTGGGCCAACTTTGTACCATAGAAAAGCACTTTTACTTTGATAAACAGAGTTGCTGTTCATGCCTTTAATTTTCTTTTAATTGATTTATCAGGCCCAAATTTGGCACCTGCTCTGTTTTTTCAAAAAAACAAGGGGGGGGGAAAGGTGTTATTAGGATAGCACAAAACTGGGCTGGAACTGCTCTATGCCAAGCCAAAGGATAGCTACCTTGGTTATTTATTTTCTAAGCATATGCTTTTGCTACAATGACTTCAGCAATGCAACTGCTCAGTGACCGAAACCAAGGTAAATTAAGTATGGTGTTGAAAAATATTTCTGCTCTCAGCACTGCAGGAAGTACTCACCAGCAGATTGTATATACACACATATTTTTTTTCTCTGTTATGACAATTGGTTTTAAACAAATTAAGCGAATTGAGTTTGTAGCAGGTCTGCGCAGAATTAATGGTCCAGGTAGAACACGAGCACATACAATGGCAAAACACATTTTAAAAAATGCAGATCTGGAGCATTTACAGTTTTTAATCTTTCTTAAAAGAGATAGGATACATTAAAGAGAAAAAGAAAAACACATAGAATATAAATTCATTCTTTTAACTCCTGACTGCAGTGTTCAAACAACTATTACAGCTTTTGTAACAGTGAACAGATCTCTCATTTTAAATTGAATGCCCTGGAATGACTGGGATGGCAGAGTGTGCCATAATAACTACCCCAAGGTATTGTCTGGAGCTGGAGGTCCGCATCTGCTCTCTGGTTATCCTAATCTGATTTCAAATGATTATTTGCTGACCTTTTAACTTAATTAAAGCAAAAACTTGTCAAAAGTTGTGACACAATACTCCACACATTATCATTGCCTCAGTTAGCTGTGACATCTTTATCACTAGGTGTTGCTGACTTCATTATACAGGCCGACAACCTATGAAATGTTAGCTAGTAGGCTTGTGTTGTCCAATAGGCTTCCAGCTCTTAGGTGTGTGGAATCTGTGACCCTACAAATATTGCTGGACTACAACTCCCATCCTTCCTGGCTGTTGGCTTTGCTGGCTGGGGCTGCTGAAAACCTGAGTCCAAGAGCATACGGAGGTCCACAGCTTCCCCATCTCTTAAATGAACAAACTGGGCTCCAGAGAACTAAGCTGCTCTTCATCACAACTGAGTCTTGCAACAATACTTCTCTGCATCTGTATCGTTCTTATTGCATCCTATCTTGCACTTATGCAGAGAACCCCAGAATCCCTCAGTGTTCTCCCTAAGTCAACACATTTTACTCCTAGGTTGTTCTATTAACTTAAAAACTGTGACATTACATAGTACAGACATCACTAACAGCCAAATATTTCTAGCTCAACCAAATCATCCCGTTTACCTTTCTGATCAATACAAGAAACAGACAAAGGTGTTTAAATTTCAACCTGATATAATCAAGGCCGGGGGGTGGGGGGACCTTTATCAGCCTAGGGCGTCACTCATTGCCAACCTTCTGGAGGCCACATGCCAGCATTGGGTGGGGCCAGAAGCAAAAGGAGGCAGAAGGAGAGATGTGGCTCTTCTCTTGGTACAGTAAGCTATAGCCAGTCAGGTTTCTATGCACACATCTCTTCACCCAGGCAAGCAAGATGCATTATCACAGTTCAAGAACGTGCAAAAATGCTTGAGGGTGTGGGGCAGCATCAGTGAGAGGTGTGGCCTTAGAGGGAATTGGGGAGCTGCACTTGGCCCCCAGGCAGCGATTGCCCGCCCCTGGACTAAGTGAAAGACATCGCCTATTTCTCGACCAACTAAGCCAACACTGAACCGCAATAAGCTACACAGAAAATCAAGGCTCTTATAGAATCACTTGTGAATTCTGATGGAATTTATAGTGTAGGTGACTAATAGTGAAACTAAGCAATATTCTTTTGGACCAAAGGAAACAAGCTGGTGATTCATACTGTTAAATACCACCACCAAATACTGCATTCCTGTTTCTTCATTGAGTGTGACATTAATTTTTGTTTGCTTTTGGGAAATATGCATTGTTTATTGTTATCAGGCAGCTCCCCACTCCACTTGCCTCTATGCTGATAATTTGTTCACAAGCATTCTATATAGATTTCCCCACCTCAGATATTCAAGAATTACTCAAATGTGCTTACCAACTATATACTACTACCAGCCAACTATGAGGATCTAGCATTCTATCACCAACAAACCTCTCCTGACTCAACTTTTAAGGCAGGCATAGGCAAACTCGGCCCTCCAGATGTTTTGGGACTACAACTCCCATCATCCCTAGCTAACAGGACCAGTGGTCAGGGATGATGGGAGTTGTAGTCCCAAAACATCTGGAGGGCCGAGTTTGCCTTATGCCTGTTTTAAGGCTACAACTTCAGATGCAAACTACCTGGTTTTTATAATTCACATAGCTTTAAAAAAGCCCACGTTTCTGTGTTCTCTTTTGATGATTTTGTAGTGCTTCACAGTATTCCTCTTACAATTTACAAATTCAGAGGGTAACACACCATTAATCATTAAATGAAATCTATTTGTGATGCACAAACTGCCCTGAAACACTGCAGTGAGGCTCCCTGCTGCTCTTTAACAGACACCTGACCCAATCCAAGGGTTGTGGCCCATATGCTGGTGCCCATTATGAACAGCAGCTGCTTTGGTGGTAGCTACACCTGGATACAGGCCCTAACACATTGCTAAACAACAGTTGAAGGGGAAGCCTTCAACAGACATGTGAGCAGCCGAAGCACAGTGGTTCCAACTCAATCATCCCATAGTTCGTCTGAACCATTTCAGCTGGCTCAAGATAGTAGTACAGTGGACCCTCAAGTTACGTACTGCTCTGGATACGTAATGTTCGGGTTGCGAACGCGGCAAACCTGGAAGTGTCCAGTTATGGACTTTTCGGGTTAAGTACAGACCCCCTGAATGAATTTAATTCATATCTGGAGGGTCCACTGTAGTGGGTACATGTGTGTGTGGCAGGAAGCATTTTTTTTTTTTAAACTGCAGCAACAGTTTGAAATATTGCTTTTACTCTCCCTAGAAATTTAGCTCCAACAATTGCAAAGGCAATTTTTCAACTTTCAAGTAAGGAAGCAGCAAAGTGGAAGCTCAGCACTGATTTCAATAGTATACAACTACACTTTTAGAAAGCAGGAATAAGTCCTTTATTGTTTCAGGATTTCACTTCTGTCTGACCAACATGCTTTGTTCCATAGGATGTTTCACAAAGGAAGTAGTCGCCATTTGTGACAGCAAACAAGGACAAAAGCAGAGGGAGTGGCATGTGTCCAGTTGCCCACAGGTGTGGGGTAGAATGCAAACAAAAAGAAAGTTTGGCTACATCTGTAAGAGGAGCAGAGTTCTCAGATTTAATTCAGATCTGAAAAGAGGACGACAGCAGAGCTTGAAGCAAAGTACAATCAACGAAACACTGATAGGCACATCCCCAGAAAGGAGATTGGACCCAGTCACTTGACAAAGGATCTCATTTCCATTTAACCTTCAACAGAACTAACAAATCATTGGCTTACTACTGCATCTCCATGTGAAATTTCATCTCTTGATAAAATTAAAAAATATTACTTCCTTTTTCTTTTGCAATAGGTTTCCCCCCCTATAAAACCCCCTTCCCATAGACAGATCAGAAAGACCATTTCTTTAAAACAGGTGGGGCACTCTTTTCATATGGTACATACATCCAATAACTTTGGTATAATTAAACCCAATTTATTTTTAATCTGAAAATTTTAATTCTCTGCAGCTTGCTAACTGAGCGGCTGAAAAGCAGTTTTTGTTTAATATTTCTATAACTGAACAATCCAGTTTCAAAACTGTTTCCAACAATGCCAAGAAGAAACAGAGCTAAACTGGAGCACAGTATGACAAAATATAAACACGAAAATATGGCTAAGGACTCTCATCTCCAACTAATATTTCAGACTACCTAAGACCAGTAATATAGCTCGCAAAAAAGTCAAATATACAATTCAGGCTCACAAATGTTTAGAATAATTGTGCCTATGCATATTTTTTTTTGGGGGGGGGGGAATGATATTGACATAAAGATACTTGGATTCCCACAGCACAGATAAATGCTCTCACAAAAAAATGCACCATGAACACATGGCTAGAGATCTTTATTGCTTAAGATTTCATTGGCTCCACTTGATTCTTCACTAGTGGAATCCCTAAAACAACCAAATATAATGTCAGAAAGGAGGTAAAAGACAGAATAAGCAACAAAAACACCCTCCCAATTTACCACTTTCAGCTAAGTTGAAGAGGGAAACTGAAGAAATGTCAGGAGTCTTTCAAGATATAAAATGATAGTAGCTTGTTCTTTCTGAAGCCAAAAGACTTTAGGTTTTAAGAAAGACCCTCTGAGAAACATATTCCTCTGTTCTGAGAAGTGGTGCCTCAATGTGGAAAGACTATACAATATGCTTTAAAGTGTATTCTTAAACAATCTCATTTTTACTTTATAGATTTTAACCATCATATATCTTTAATCCAAGACTTTTGTAAATCTGAAGCTCCTGATTTTTGTTAAAAACAAAACAAAACTTCACATGGCTGTAAGCAAAAGTCAGAAATGGCAGGCAGTACAGATATCTAGCCAGCTGTGGGTTTTTGCATACTCTGCTTAGACAGTCCAAATCTGAAGACATATATGTGCCTTTGGTTCCCCTCTGTTCTGTATTGTCCAGAGGGCTGGGTTAGCTTTTTGAAAATTAAAAGTACCATATCAGCTGTAAAACAAAATGATGATATGCCTAGCCCACACAAAGTGGGCATTATTCCTGCCTGAACTGATTGATAAATGTGATTTGAGACTCCAGCTCTTTCCTTCAGTTTCAAATGTTGGGAGACAGACCACATTATGCATGTTCTCAGGGTGGAAAGTTTCTAATAAAACAGGTGTGCAAACAAAGAGAATAGTGGGAAGTTATTAAAGACCTCCCATACAGATTTTAGACATAAGTAGTTAAGGTCTGAACCTGCTGGAGCCATCCCAAAATACAGGAAGAAAAGCGCTCTTCTTGAGAATGGCCCCGGTTAACTCCGGAATCCAAAGATGCCCTTGATATATCCTGTGAGACCACTCTTTGCTTTCTGCTCCACTTTGTCCTCCAGGGGTGGTAAAGTAACATGGTTGAGAGCCAGGTCAAAGAACAAAGGCTTGCATGGTATCGGTTGGAATTCTGGCGGGAAATGCACCAGACTGGCTTGCTTGCTGACAAGAGAAGGATCCAGGCAGAAAGTCTCAAACCGTTCAGAAAGTGGCTTGATATCGAAGGAAACAAAAATCTCAGATAAGATTAGTTGAAACAACATTAGCTACCAAGTGAAGTCTAGCCTAATGGCCAGGCAGGAACCTATTATCTCCTTCCCCATCAATTCTGACTTTGTGGGTAACATGTCCAAGCCAGTGAGGCAGGTACAGTAAGAATGGATATTTCAGATGTACTGCCATGGAAACCTCAGAACCTTCTTTTAAACCAGTCCACGGGACAGTTTCTCTTCTAAGCCTGAAGAGGAAGTATTTTAAACTCTGCTAGAGAGGGTGTGTGTATGCATACTTACAGAAAGCTGACAGCTTCTCAATAATGAGTCAACTGTAGAGTTGCACAAACTTGGTTAAGCGTTAAGACCTGTTCTACGCTCATTTTTCTTCTCTCTAAACAGCTTCTGAGCTGTCAGATTTCCTCCCAGATCTGGATGAAGGTCCTCATTATCATGTTAAATAGAGTTCAGGTGTAATGCCTGGGTGATTCTACAAAACTGAGCTGAAAAGTATTTTTATTCCTCATGGTCCAATGACACGAAATTCAAAGCTGTTTATGGATGAGGAATGGACTTCCGCTTGCCCAATGGGACTTCCTCTTTCACTGTTCCTCGCACCCCGGGCTAAAAAAACCACCAGTCTGCCCTGGGAGGTTGGGGGACCTGGGGCAGATCTGGGGTGTGTGGGAGCTGCAGAAGGGAGGAAGGGGAAGTCCTAGTCTATGAGCAGCAGAAATCTGCAATTAAATGTACTTGTAAGAATCTGTCCAATTTGTGTAACTAAAAGCATGCTTGTGCAAACTGCAACATGTGGTACATTTGCTGATTATGCTGAAATAATCTATTTTCCATCTCACTAGCTACAAAAGCTGTCTTACCTTGCCATCCTTGACCTGGGATGGTGATTCAGTCTCATGGTTGTCACCTGCATCTGAAAGGTGCCACAAGAATATTTTAGGAAAATGCAGCTCCTAGCAATGCAACTACCTATAAAACACATCAATAGTATACAAGCATCTATTGTCACAGCTTTAAGAACATGTTCCTATTCTCTGTTGCAATTTGAGATTTATACGTAGTTGTCCTGTTTTATTTATTTATGTGTAATAGTGCCATCAATACTGCAGTCTGAAATTTGACCCAGGTGAGTGGGGGACAGAAGGAAGGAACGACTGCATGTTCACTTGAGTTACACCGGCTTCTTTTCAGTAGTGACTGAGAACTGTGAGTTGTGCTGAACAAGTCACAGAAAGGTCTGATGCTTTGAAAGTGAGGATGAGGAATTTGTGCTGCATCAGAAAGCCAGTGGAGGTTTCAGAAAAGGTACCAGAGGGGAATGGTTTTGGTGATAAGAGTTCTAGATATATGTAGGCAAGAGGTGTCCACAGCATGAACCAGAATTTTTCTGGAGCAGAGAAAAGGCTACAATTTCACAATGCTGAAAGGGGAGAAGCAATCTATACAGAAGAAATGGAACCCACTCACCTAATATGGCAGCTGCTTGCAAGGAGTATTTTTCTGCATTCACTTGAGTGATCAGCTCTTGGACATCAGGCAGCTCCTAAACAATCAGGTCAATTATGTAAAACAACTTCCAGGTATTAAAAGTTTTATGCCATTAGCAAGTTTCAACCGCTGTTCAAAAACTCCTCGGAGACAGAAGATCACCCAGAGCAGCTTCAATCACAACAGATGAGGAAGCAAAGCATTTACTGTGCATATACAAATACAATCCACAGTAGCCATTACAACCCCACAGCCTGCATCCGGCAGCACCATTGAGATACATATATTCAGTATATTTTCTGCAAGAAGAGGAAAGTCTCTGGAAGTCACAGCTGCATTTGCGCACTTTATCTTAAGGTCTACAGAGAAAGAATTTACAAAAGCTAAACATTCTATTACTGCTCAGCAGTTAAAGAGCCAGTTAAATATGTATACACATGGCCTCTAGCTAATTGCACGTGGTCTTTCAAGAGCTTTCACTGACAAAGTTGCTGCATGCTGAATGGAGAGTTTCATACCTTTAAGCTGTTCTTATAAGTTCCAGCTTGGGCCTGGACTTCGTTGGCATATTTCAGAACTCGATCATACAAAACAAGGGCTTCACTCCACTTCTTCACTAGAACGTATGACTGTGCAATGAAAAAACACCTAGTGGGATAGGAAGACAACATTGGGTGCATTCATATTCATGTTAAAAACAGTTCAAACAAGAAAAAAGGATATAAAAAACAATTTAAAAGCAATTTAAAAGAAGCCCACTCTGCTGAGCAATTTCTTGTCTGCTTCTTGTTATCAATCAACTCAGTTCTCAGTATAATTGGTTTTCTGTTAGTCACAAAAGGGTTGCTTCTGAATTCGCAGAAGAATGTTGCCTGAGGAAAGTGACTTCAAATTCAATCGGTGTTGAAATAATAACTATTTGTTTAAGTTTCTGTGCAAGAACTTCCTCTGGGCCTCAAACATTTATATGTTATAAGTTTGTATTTTCCCTGTTTACTGCAATGAAATCACCAACACACTGTGGAGTGGCACTGCAAGAAATCTTCTGGTACAGCTTACACAAGAGCTCACAGAACACCACTTATACTTTCTCCTTCTCTTCTTGGTTCTTGGAATCCATGCCTCTGTATTAAAATATTAGCTGTTCTTTAGCTACAGGTAAACTGATCAAGTAACCTTGTTTGCTTGAGAATTACCTGTAAGCTTTATACACCAGTGTCTTTATCCCAATTTCCTTTAGGTAGCCTTTATCTTCTTCCAGACCAGGAAGTTGTGGCAACTCTGCCAGATTCTTCAATGATGAAGAGAATTAACAGAAGGGGGGGAGGGGAGAGAAACAGTTCTTGAATATAAATAGTATTTCATAAATCAGAAATGCAACTAGTGGTTTCCAAATGAAGGTATCTTTTTTGTAAAACAGATTGTTGTTTTTAAAATCAAATGGTATATAAATCTTGTTAAAATAAAGTAATGATAATCTTTCACTAAAACTAATTAAGTATGGCTTGGTGTGAATGCACAGCTGTCTGGTTGTTTCGCTGCTGAACTGTATTGAAGTAAGCCACAGTTTGGCTTAATGTGTCATCCAAATGTGAGCTCACAATTTAGTTGTCTCCAGACTAACCATGAAGCATAATCGAGGTTCGCTCTTCGTTTATGGCTCATGGCTAGTCTGGAGAGAGCCAAACTACAAGGGTGGGGTTGGACAACGTGTTAAGCTAAACTAGCTCAGCATGGTTAAACAGGAGCAAAACAACTGGGGAGAAGCAAAGTCACCACCCTCTTCTTCCCAGGAGCCCCCAACACTTGTGCCAAGTCACACTTTGGCTTAGAGTGATGTGTAAACCAAACCAGTAGTTTTCACAGGATGGTTGGTTGTTTCTTCAGTAAGAAACACAAACATATGAAATAACTGAATAAAGAAGCTACAGCATCACTCTTTTAAACACTAGAATTTTCTTAAACCCTTTCCACATGCTCCCTTTAAGAATAACCTGCAATTATCAGAATTATCTATGTGCTAGCTGTAGTAAATGCTCATATAGGAAAGTGACAAATGCGTCAAATTTAGTCTCCCTACAATGAAGCCACATTTTCCCCAAAGACTTGCATCTCAAAATACAGGAAAGACTATAAATATTTGGAATGCTGACCAGCTGGGACTGTCTGCTTGAGGTGGAGTCCTCTAGGGACAATGAACACAGCAAAGATGTACTTGCAGGAATGAACAGGCAGGAGAACAGACTCATTTTGAGACCATGAGGCTCTAGAATTTAAGCACTACTACAGGCTATACAGAATTTTCAGCAGAGGATTGTGATCTCTGGTTGCCAAATAATGCATTAGGATCTCCTGCAGCTTTATAGCACTTGTGCTTTCTGATCCTGATTTGCAAACTTAGGAAAGGATTAAGAAATATGGAACCAGAAGACCTCCTCCCGCTCCATTGCTATTACCTGTAAGATGATGTCATAAAGGCGTATCAAATCCTGAGGCCGAGGTGTACGCTTGCCATCTTCCTCGGGCTGCTGCTGCTGAAGCAGCGCCTTCTGCAGTGCCTTTGCCATACTCTCATTGCGCTTGATGGCTGTGGACAGCTTGATGTATGTCAGATAACTAGAAAGCATGATTAAAGGAGTTTTGTTAAAGCCATTTCAAAAACACCTGGACATACCATAAACGCTTAACAGGCAAAATGGGCAAGTGAACAAGATGACTGTCAAACCTTCCTAAAAAGTTTATTGAAGAACTCTAGTCTGACCACCTTAAAGTTTTTCTCGTTGATATATTTGCAACAAAACAAACAAGTAGAACAGAGTTTGGAATATGTTTAACTTTGGCTGGTTTACAAACCCTTATTAGCCATGTTGGAATATTTAAAACGTTTATTATATTGCTGGATTTGAATGATCCACAGTCACAAGCCATTAAGAGTTTAAGATCTATTAAATAAATATTGAGGGTTTTCCCCAAGCGAGTTGTATGTCCCACACAAGCACTTCTCATGCAACATAGCTTCCCCTTCCCTCTTCTCATTCTATGTGCTCCCTCAAATCTGTTATGGGGTCTCTCCAAACTTACAGAACAGATTTGGTGGGTGCTTGGCAAGAGAAGGGGTGGGGAATTCCAATGTGCAAATGGGATGACTTCATAGGATACAACCCTAAATTAATATCTAGGACTCCCACCTGTGCAGGTACTGGATATTAGTAACCTTTCCAGAATCCACTTCTGAAGAGTGTTCCCGCTGCTTCTGTTGGGAGCAGAACAAAGCTATATTGTATTTATTTGGGGAGCACACAAGAGATAAAACAAAAACTCAAAGCCTGAGAGATACTGTACTACAATATATTACATTTCATAAAGAACCCTACAGGGTCTGTCACAAGATGTTTTCTTCAAGCCCTCAGTTAAAAGGTGATGCACAAGGACAATACTTTATCCTCACCTGATCTGGTTTCAGTTCTTCACGAACAGCTTGAATTGCATCTCGACACTCACTCAGCAAGGATTCAAACAGCCGCTCTTTAGTTTCTTCTTCTTCTGCCTAAACAAAGAAGCACCAGAGAAACACTGAAAATCCATTAGGCCTATGTTACTTTTTCTGAAATCTTAAAGGAGGTAAAAGCTCACACTAAGAATTCTAACAACTCAGAAATGCAACATCATGTGAAACTTTACAGAATGTTACACTGCTGGCGGAACAAACTGTAGAAACTTGGCCCTGTGGCTAACATTTCCTGAGATGCACTAGGGAAAGTAGCGTGACTATGTTCAAATCACTGAAAAAAAGGCCTTCTATAGTAGTTTCTCATAAAAACTGTTTGTAACTGTTTCATCAGTGCTGTACCGTATGAACTGAGCAAGAAAAACCAAGAGCCCACCAGGATCATTGTTATATGTTTAGATTGTCTAGTTCCAGACCACAATCTTCAAAGGCAACCCCATGTATAATGCACTGTAGTAATCTACAATAGACTACCAGACCAGAGAAACAGAACCTCGGCTGTCCCCATCCAGACAGAGATGCAGCTGGATCATCAGCTGCAGGTGATGAAGGGCACTCCACACCATGAAGATTACTATTTATATAGTGCCATATCATAAAATATCAAGACCTCCAGAGGAAGTAATGGAATCTAGAAGGACCCCACAAGCTGCATACCTGTTCCTTTGTGGTGTGAGACTCCACCCAAAACAGCTTGAACCCCACCCATCCAGGAACCACTCACTAAGTATCAGCCTTTCCTAGATTAAGCTTCTGGAAGGCTAAAAGTTCCACTTCCTTGGTATATGGCCTGATTTGATTAGATCAGCATGTTTGAGAGCCATGGCTTGCGCATTGCAGGATTAGGGCTGCACTCCAGAAGCCAATTACTCTCTAGTTTCATTAGCCTGAACAGCCCTTCAGAAAACCTCCCTAGCAGTTTTGGGATAGGTTTGGGCATAGTAGCTTTAATTGCTCATCCAACTAATGTTAACTGGATTAATAAACTTCAAAAATATGCTGCTTATTCTTCAGGTATATATAAAGAAGGTTTCTAAATATTAAGGAGGGACATTGGTTACTCTGAACCACCACAGAGACAAGCTAGACAAGTCTGACAGCATTCTTAGCAACACCCATGAGAGTATTTCAACTTCAGACATGCAAAGGGGAAACCAACTAGAATAATGATGAAGTAATAAAACGCCCAGCAGACAGAGAACAGAGCTTCATGGAATGGGGAGAAGGCTGAAGTTAGTGTATTGTTCACTCATGTTAAACATAACTATGGACAAGCACTGGGTGCACTGCAACTGATAACAAGCTCCTTCAAGAAATGGATGTATCAGCAAAGGTTCTTAAAGAGCAGAAGTGAAGGCAAAATAGACTTGAACTGGATTAATAGCTTGAATAAGTAAATACTTGATTCAGAAGCATGGTTACAGTTTTACTTCTCTGACAGTTGAGACCTTGAAAGCATTTTCTTCATAATGTTCAGCATCTGCCTAACAACACTTGTATATATTGTTGTGGGTGTATCCATGTAGAGATTCCCTTGTAACTTGTACAAAAACAATTGTCAGAACTGGATATTTAACCAGGCTTTGGCTCATAGGATCGCCTCTAAATAAGACTCATGTATGATCCACTCAACGAGGATTCCATAAATCTGCTTACTTCATGACAAGTAACAAGTGCTGTTTCTCCATTTGACATGCATCAATGAACCTTTGCTGGTGGGAAGCTAGAAGTACCTTCAGGGAAGAAAATGGAAATACACTTTTTCTCCTGAAAGTTGCCCTGCAGCAGCTTCGTACAAAAACCCAGCTGGAAAGGGGGAGGGGAAAGCCCTCCTTATTTCTTCTCCCATAGAGAAAAAATGTGGTATCTTTCCCTTCCCGTTCAGCTTCTGCAACTGGCAGCAACAATTTGCTACTGGCTCATTCCTCCATGAAGGAAAAGAAACAGTTTTGCATGTTAAGACTTTTGCAGAAGACAGCAGCAGCCCTGCATATCCTAACAGGAAGGTAAACACTCCCTTTGTTATTCTACAACAGGCATGTCCAACTCCCAAGAGACTGCGATCTACCCCCAGTATAAAAAAAACAAACTGGCAGTGGCAGTGATCTATCCCTTGTCATTGGAGGGAGGAGGAGCGGGCGTGTGGTGGGTGGATTGCCCAGAATTGTTGAGCTTTTTTTAGGAGGGGAGTGCCCAGAATGGTTGAGCTTTTTTGGGGTAGGATTGCACAGAGTTAGTTTTGAAGCTTTTTCCCTGTAAATTTTTGTACAGTGGTACCTCGGGTTACATATGCTTCAGGTTACATACGCTTCAGGTTACAGACTCCGCTAACCCAGAAAGAGTACCTCAGGTTAAGTACTTTGCTTCAGGATGAGAACAGAAATAATGCTCCGGCGGCGTGGTGGCAGTGTGAGGCCCCATTAACTAAAGTGGTGCTTCAGGTTAAGAACAGTTTCAGGTTAAGAATGGACCTCCGGAACAAATTAAGTACTTAACCCAAGGTACCACTGTACACGATAAGGTTGCTGCGATCTACCAGGATCAGCCAGGGGTCTACCAGTAGATGGCGATCTACTGGTTGGACATCCCTGTTCTACAAGAACAGGGGGAGTAGAGACAGCGATCCATGGCTTGTACTTTTGCAAAATTTGCATAACAGAAGCCACCTCTTCTTTCTTCTCCACCCCTATTCTATGCAGAGGGAAAACATTTACTTTCCCTTCCTACTGGGCTTCGGCAAGATGCAGCAACGGCAAGGTGCTACTTGCGCCTTCTGCAAAAGCCTAACACTTCTCGAGTTATCTGCACAAATAAGGTTTGGGGACAGGAGGGGCTGGTGAACTCAATAAATGAGTTTGACGAGTAAGCCAAGACAAAATTTGGGGAGCGCTATGTACTTGCAAGTGTCTGCATGTCAACATGTGATAATTCTGGAAGCCAATCTACGTGTACTCACTGACTTGGCGACATGCCTGATCATGACAATTATAGGTCAGAAAATACACATCACTTATATCCTCCTACATTCTTTTTGGCCAAGGTTCAGCCAAGACACTGGAAAATCGTCAGCTACACCACCTGCTGATCACACAGCTCTATTACACAACTTTTCTGGGCGTAAATCTGCTCCGCCCCCAACACAAGTCGATGATGTACAGCTATCTAATTACACACAAGAATACAGGACTTTGACTACAGTAAAAATCACAGTGACAGATTGCAGGGAGTTTATACTTACCTGAGCAATAGCTGCTTCAGTATCAGCCATCCCCAGCAGGAAGATCCTCACTTTGTCTATCTTCACTGGCACTGTTCTTCCCCTCCATTCTACCTCACTCATAGTGGCTGCCTGCTTTGCTCGGGTTTGGGTGATTAATGACTGCAAAACAGAAAAGCTACTATTTAGAAATGCAAATAGAAGGTTGTATTCCCCACAATATTTCACTTAGATCTGTGCAACAGCCATGACGACAGGCATAAAATCTGCCCGTTTAAGTTGTAAAAAAATTAATCTGGTAACACATTCATTTTTTTAAAAATAAGCAGTCTGTCCTATCCCCTAAAGGCAAGAAATCAAAATATCAGAAATCAAAATATTTAAAGTATTTTTAAAAATGCTCCTAAAGCCACTAAGGACTCTTCTGTTTATTATGCTTAGTCAGAAAATCCTTGCCTTCATAAAATTATCTAGATCTGGGCTGTCCATCATAAAGTCAGGGAGTTCTGATCTCTTAGAGGATCCCAGTGTTTTCCGTTGCACTTTTACTACACTCAGCACAAATGACTAAACCACCTTCAGTCATCATATGCATCTGGGATGCGTACACATATATCTGCTTTGCTAGATGGCTAGTGGGAGGAGGAGGAGGAGAGGAACGTTCCAAGTCTTCCAGGACACAGCTAGGCATCTGCATATGTTATTCATTTTAACAGAAAAAATAGCTTTCCATGTCTGCAACACACTAGATGGCAAGTCTTCTCTACAGCCCATCCAAGTTTGACACTATTGGTCTAAGCTCAGGCTTATGCCAACTTCTGCAAGAAAGGCTCTTTTAAAAAAAGAGAACAGATTACCTCAAGTTTTTCAGCAAGAAGCCCCTCAGTGCCTCCAGATCTCAGTCTCATTTGCATTAGCTCACTAATAGCAGACTGGTCACCTAAGAAACAAATAGCAGTGCACAATATGTGATCTAGCACATCTTGTTACATCGTGAGAAAACAATTCCAAGCCTCGGGATTGAAAGTAGTAAATGTAAAGAACACTGGGAGACAAGGTGCATTTGTGTCCTGAATATGTATGAACAAAACAGATATGCTGTAATGATAAACGCCAATTTGCAACAGTGGGCTGAGAAAGGCAACTCTGTAGTTACTGGCTATTTGGGGTTATTGGGTTGTTTTATTTTGATTGTATATATTGTGGTTTTCATGTTGATCGTTTCTGTGAACCGCCCTGAGACCTTCGGGTATAGGGCAGTATATAAATTCAATAAATAATAATAAATAATTCTCATAATAATATTTTCAGCCCATGCTAAAATGAGATGCTGACTATGCACAAGGACCCCCAAATTTACAAACCTTCGTTCTCAAAGGAAAGTTACATATTATTCAGTTGCAAGTAGTTTCATCTGCGGTAGAAGACAGAACACGGGGGGGGGGGGGATTTCTCAAACCTTTCACATTAAAAGCTACCAATTTTTGATCTATAAAGGAAAATGTACTGCTGTTTCTGTGAGGAGAAAGCACATGGGGTGGTAATTTTCAGCAGGGGAAAAAATACTGGAAAGAGAAGGGTAAGATCCTCCTCACGTGAAGATTGCAGCTTTAGCAGTTTCTTCAGGAAAAAACTGCAAGACATATGTACTCTGGACTTTATTTTAAATGACCAGGTTTTTGTCAAGTATTTTCTGCCCCAAGATCAAAGAAAGTAATGGAAAAATTGGGATATTAATTACTGCATAGAAGTGAAGGGCGGGGGGAAGCAAGCACCTAGATCCAACTCATAACCATTAAAGCCCAATTTTGATTCTTGTTTTCTCAGCTTTCTGTGTTCTCCAGCACATTTTCAAGCTCTTTTTTGCAATTATGACAGGCAGAACTATTCTAAATGAAAGCAGAAATTACCAAAACATCAAGCTGAGGGACAGTCTGGACTTTAAACGGTGCACCAAGCATATGCTCAAGTATGTATTACCCCTTCGATCTCTTTTGGCAGGCGAGCAAATGTAAACAGTACTAGTAGTCTTTTAAAATATTTTTCTTCTTGGTTTACTTACCAATATTATAAGCACAATAACGAATATTTGGGGAGATCTCCTCCACTCGCTGATTATATAGTATAGCCTGCTCATCTGTGAAAGCACTAGCCAGCTTTTCATATATGGTTCTGCAGCAGAAAGATAAAAACTTAATAGTTTCAATTTTACAACAATGAAAGTCCTTTCTCTTTAAAATAAATTACTATTACAGTACTGATCTGTTCTTACAAAGGCCTTTTAACTTTATTATCATGCTGCTCAGTAGGACAACTACTCTGGGTCCAGAACTGATGGGGAAGGGGGGTTTATATTGGAACACAGAGGAGAATTTGCGTGGAAAAACTCATCAACATGTGATAGGATTAGTTTAACAGATTCATGTTAACAAAGCAATAGGAAGGATGGGCAAACTCACTTGCATTTGTTGAATGCCTCCATTGCTGCTTTCCATTCCTGACGCTCAAAGCGGAGCATACCTGTGAGGTATGCTGTATATGCCTGTAAATCAAGGAGGGGTGCCTATTAGTCGGTGCAATAGCACAGTCTTAGTCTACAGCCAGCAAGAATACAGCCAGCAGAGACCGGCAACTTGCCTGAACACTATTCTTTCCCCCGGTTGCCTATATTACCTCAAATACCACAACAAGATTCATACAGTAAACCTGGCATTCAGCCCTAACATTTACATCACTACATACATTGTACAAGTTATACATTCATGTTTCGAATTCATGTTTTCAGAAACCTAGCTTTAGGATTTATGTGATGCTGTTTTGAATGACACGTTACTAAGACTTGTGGTACTTACTGTCCAGTTGTTGCGCAAGTAGTCATGCTACTCCACCACACAGAGGGTGTTCAAGTAAATGAAAGAACGTGTGCACTATAATAAGTAAACCATTAAACTGCCAGAGTCAAATAGCTGCCTAGGTGTGATAAGTCACAAATCAGCATATAGAAGGATTCTAGCATAGATAATATTTTTGGAACAAATTCCTAAAGGATGTGTTAATCATTGCTATTAGCTCAGGCAGCTCAAAATGGAATGTACATAGAGGAAGCCCGATTACCAGATGCTGAGAATGAATAAAAAACTTGTATCTAGGATGTTTCACTTGTAAGTTTCAGGTATTTTTAGACACAGTGCTAGACTAAGTTGAATTTTACCTTTTCTCAGCACAGCAATTTTTTATTCTTTCTTTTTTTCTGTGCTCTGCAGTCAGTTAGTTTCCTATTCACTGAATACATAAGCTGGCCCCAAACTCCCACCTCACTCTTCTTGGTTCTGCCTCAATCAAGGAATCCCAGGATTTGTAAAAATGGAAGTCCCATCCCCTGTAGGTTATAGCCCTGCGGGGGCTTAGTTTAACAAGTGGGCTGCATTCATTTCTGGGCAACCTTCCAGGGGTAGTATGCCAGGAGTTAGCAGCACCAGAGGCAAAAGTGAGAAGAACTGCAAATGTGAATTTTACCTTTATGCAATAGGCTAGTTTACACACACACACACACACACACACACACACACCCCTACCTCCCTATCCTTCACACCAAAAAAGGAAGCAGCATTTATTAGAGTTCAAGGACTTTCAGTGTTTATTAAAGAAGAAAGCAGGGCTGGTGCGAGATGTGACCTGGGGAGAATACCACAGGTGAAACAAAGAGACCCAAGTCCTTATCTCTGCTACTGTCTGACCGTTCCCAGAAAAGGCTCATTTTATATATGGGAGTTCCACTGGAAATATTAGGTAATGGTTGCTACATCAGAATATATACCACAAAATGTTACAGTGCACCTTAACCTCCTAGCAGGAGTGTTCCTGTTCAGGTTTCCAGCCAGCCAGCCTTACCCTCCTCCAATATAAGCTGCAAGGAGTTCAAGCAGAGTATCCCCTGGTTTTCTGTTCCAACTGACACTTAACATCCTGTGACTATAGAATAATAGTAATAATCCTCACCGGAGTAGGGGATTTCTTTTTTAGGGGCAGAGATAATAATTGTTATTTATTTTTCCAAACTTTATAGAGTTCTTCCAAACAGGCTGATACCTCCTTCCTGTTTCTCAGCCAAAAGTTGAAAGTGAATGACAGGACAATTATCTATGCTTCCTATAAGACAGGATGAAGATTCAAACTTCTGGACAGAAGGTGCGAAATGTCAGATTTGAACTTCCATAAATTGATATGCTACAGCCTGATATTTCCAAAAACCGAGCGGTGTTCAACTACTGCATCTCATCAGCACAATTATTTCAAGTTGCATGACAATTTCCCTCTCTATTTTTGCTGTGCATGGCCTGCACGCTCCCCAAATCCGCTCCAGAGAGTTGGGGAAACCCTTAGAACAGATTTAGAGGTTGCATGGAACAGGGTGCAGGGAAGGGTGTTCCTTTGCACAAGCCAAAATTCTTGCACTGACAAAGCATTAACTTAGCACTATATTGGATTCCACTCACCATCCTCAAATATATCACTCGTCAACCTTCCATCACATGTCCTTATATATGTAAATAACAGAGCCTGCTATTTCAAACAAGCATTTGCATCTCCTGACTTTTTTGGTGCATCTGCTATGGCATACTATAGTCCTTCAGTCCCAGGTAGACTACAGGAGGAAGCACTGGCTAAACAGCATACATATCGGCCAGCTGGAAACATTCTATGGGCTGAACCCAACCAGACTCCTGTCTAGGATTAGGTGCTATCTGCTTTATTTCCCCATTTTCTGTACTAGCTTTCAGATTAATGATCTGCCTCAAACTTCACAGACCACTATTCTGATTCAATGAAACTATGTTATTTAACTTGGGCTTAAAAAGTCGCTACAAATATACTGGACATTCCTAACCTAATCTCCACAGGAAGTTTTAACATTATTTACAATACAGATTCATTTATCCAACAAGAAACAAAATGTCAGTTTATATCTTCTATGCTATAAAAGGGTTTTGAAAGTTAGCAGTAACCTGAGCTTCCAGCTTGGTCTTGGCATCCACGCGGTTGCTTTCACACAGGCGCTCCAGCTCCTCAGCATGTTTTACTGCTTTGCGCAGGCGAGATAACAAGTGGAATCGTTTGCGAGGTTCTGTGTTGGCTTCCTGCTTAAGCTGCATAGCATAACTCCAGGCTCTCTCAGCATCCATCAGAATCAAGAGCAAGTATCTAGTATAAGAAAAGACAAGACAGCTTAAAAACCTATTCCAAACAAATTTCTTTATTTTACTTGTGCAATAAAGACCCATGGAACAAGTTCTGCTGTGGTTAGGACAGATTTATCTACCCCATCACCTTTAAAGCCTTGATCACACATCCTGAAGACCATTCTCCTTTTGCATAACTTAAATTTGTAGGTAAACTGCCTATTTTTTAAAAAAATCTGCTTTGTTGATGTCTAATTGTTTTAGTTGTCAAATGTTATTGATATTCATACAAGTTGTATTCAATTTATTGTACTGGTATGTGTGTTTTTATTTATTTTTTTGTTACTATATTTTATCTCTTAAAAGGCATATAAAGTCGTACCTTGGTTTTCAAACAGTTTAGTTCCCGAATGTTTTGGTTCCTGAACATGGCAAACCCGGAAGTGACTGTTCCGGTTTGCAAACTATTTTTTGGAAGCTGAACATCCAATGGGGCCTCTGATTGGCTGCAGGACCTTCCTACAGTCAATCAGAGGCCGCGATTTGGTTTTCGAATATTTTGGAAGTCAAACGGACTTTCGGAACAGATTCCGTTCGACTTCCAAGGTACGACTATACATAGTATGAATAAATAAATAAATAATAAATAAATAAAAGCAAATTTTGGATGTAGTGTAAAAACCTGGAGGTGGTACAGGTACCTTGAGCAAATTGTTTTGAGGTTGGCTGTGGTCCCTGTTTTGGACTGTGCCATCCACACTGAACTTACTAGGCCCTATGCTGCTCCTTGGATTAGCAATGATCAACACAGGAAAGGGGGTAGCTCTGAATTAGCTTGTGAACTTTTTCATTCAAGTTTGTGGAATCTTGATACTCAAATCCCATTTTATCTAAAAGTATCCCAACAGTTAACCCAGCAAATCCGATCCCCAAACAAAGTAGAAAGAAACAAAGATTGCATTTTGCCCGCCCACCCACAAAGAAATTAGCATACAAATATGCATATTGAAGTCTGGTAGTCAGGATACTGATCTCCAAGTCACTACATTTAAAGGGGGAAAAGATCAGTAATCCACTTCAAAACATTTTTATAATACTGAGCAGGGCTGCCTACCGTATTTTTTGCTCTATGAGACGTACCTAGTTTTTAGAGGAGGAAAACAAGAAACAAGAAAGCAACGCAAAGCCTCTTGAGCGAAGAGGCAGGAGCGCCCCGGCTGTGCTCAAGAGGCTTTGCGTGGCTATCCCTGAAGCCAGGAGAGCAAGAGGGATCGGTGCAGCCTACATTCGCTCCATAAGATGCACACACATTTCCCCTTACTTTTTAGGAGGGAGAAAGTGCATCTTATAGAGCGAAAGATACAGTGTTTTGAAGTTGAACAGTTCTCTCCTCTCCTCACCAGCACCCCAAATCTTCAGCACACAGTTGAATAATGTCACCCATGGTAATGGGGGAATAGCACTGCTAAGGTACATGTAGTCAAAAGCAACTGATATAAGCATGCGGCACCATTTCCCTTTACTACTGGAGGTTTCTGATTGAGAGATATAACCAGAAGCTTATAACTTTACCTGCCCCTTTTGGCAAATAAAAAATAAAAAAATCAGCACAGCTATTGAGCATCCTAGTACCTGTTGTCAGATAACAGTTCTTCTGTTACTTTCTTGCCTGTGAACTTGTGCCTATTTCCCATCTTGAAGTTAAGAGTTTTTCTGAGTCTTCTTAGTCGTCGGGAGCAGTAACCTCTGAAGAGAAAACCACAACTTTTTAGTTCTTACAAAGAATAGAACTTGGGCTGGATTCAACTAAATAGGTTCCAGGAGCCAATGCAACAAGCCCTGCTAGCCTAGTGGGGTTCCCCCTCCCCACTTTGCTTGGGAAGGCAAGGAGAATCCCCAGAACAGTGTGTGGAAGGAGGAGATGGGAGTTTGTTCCGTCTGGCAAGCTTGCAGTAACAGGATAGGAGTTACACAATGTTGAATTCCATTTTTTGCCTCCTATTTGACTAAGAAAAAGGAGGACAGTAAAAACAAACCTAGAGCTATAATACATTTCATATATTAGAGGACACCATGTGTGGCTGTCATCAGTTTTTACAGTGGAAGACAGTAGTCATAGCCAGAATGTTAATAATCAGGAAATCTTGGCAGCCTACATGACAGATTTACAGAACTGAATGGAACCACAAAGCAGCTGCTTTAGAGTGGTGCACCAAATGGCTTATGGAAATGAAGCCTTTAGTGCCTAGGTAACACACGAGTTCTGAGTAAGTAGCTTTCCATTCAGTGTTTTGCATACCCCTCTACACACCTGTAAAAGCTGTATTATATAAATTATATGCAACACCCATGCTAGTGCTTTATAGAATTGAAGAAAAATGCCACCCAACAGTTTAACGATTCAAATAAATGGGGAAGTATCTTTAGACGTTAAGTAGATACAAATTTTCATAAATAAGTGGAAGGAACAGGTTCTCTAAAACTAGGCATGCCATACACCCAGAATTTCCCAGACATAGCCCTCGTAAACAGTGTCTGGGTGGAAATCGCTGAAATATCCGGGGAAACCCGGTTGTATGGCAGCCCATGTTGGTAGTGTAGATTTCGGTGAATTTCAATAAAAGTAGCTCAAAAGTTGGTTTTTTGTTTTTTTAAAAAAAGAAGCTCAACAATTTTGGGCAAAACTTTAAAAAGCTCAACAATTTTAGGGGTGGGGGGAGAAGCAGCTCAACAACTTTTGTGTCCAGATTTTCACTTTTTGAAATATGGCAGCCCTGCTAAAACTCCAGAAAGAACTAGCATCTGTTTAGACCTAGTCATTTAAATAAAGACAAAAGGACATTGGCAACAAATCATTCCCATTCGTTATTCCTAGTATACCAACCTGTATCTCTGAAAATCACCATGCCGTAACCCATGTTGCTGTTGCGATTCCTTAACAATCTGAAGGACTGAAGAACTTGTTAAGGAAACGTTAAACAGGATGCTAAAGATGTATCATTAAAATGACAGCTGTTATTTGGAGCACATGTAAATAACTAACTTTCTATTTTGTAATATTACACTGATACTTATTTCTGAACTGGGAAAGCGTTAAACAAAATAAGTTTTACAGATTACCACAAGGAGAATTCACTGGAAAGCCAATACAACTGTGTATATCAATGTTAGCTTGAAGATCACTGTTTAAATTCAGTTAAGCTATATTCTAGGAAACCCAATGGTTCCTTATATATTTATAAAGAGATATTTGATGATGAGATAAAGTTCAATGGGGCTTACTTCCAGGTAACTGTATCGAGGACTGCAATCATAATCATTAATTTGTGAGATTAACTGATCTGATTTAATACAGTTACAAAATAAAAACTGGTACAGATAGGCCAATGAGTATAGTAAGAGTAGTAAGTGTACAGATAAATTCAAAAAGAAGCCAAAAAGTAGTCTGTACTTTACATTTCCCATCTGCCTTTTCAGTAACGCAAGAAGAGTAAACACTTAAAATAATGAAGTATCAAAAATTCATTAGGTCTTCTGATCAGTTCTTAATAAAATTTTAAAAATCAACCTTTCTAGGCTCCAAACGCACAATATAAAAAGCATGAACTACCGGTTCCCTCTTCCTGAATCCACAGAAACAAAGATATTTATTAAATCTTAATATTTATGGAAGTCAGCCAATTAGCAAAACAAAGGGTAGAGGACAATAGCAAGCAAGCATAAATGCTCTCCTTATTTCAAGATAGCTAATACTGCATGTGGCAATTGCACAGTTTGGGATATTGAATTTCTGAAATGGTATACTTTCCAGTAGGTTTCAATGAACTGCTACAACTGTCCACTATGAACACTTTGCAGTATTTAGTGGTAGCTCTGGAGAAGGAGGCAAAAAATATGCCTTTAAATTATTTTCAGGGACTGTTAAATTTTCTGCTGCACACAACACATTTCTACATGATCACCAGTTACTTTTAATCCCAATCACCGAATTAACTTTCAAACACTGACCTTTGTTCATCTGACAATTTGATGCTGCCCTCATCAATCCATAAACAACTATTTCACTCTATATCAGAGTATATCTATTCCACAACAATGGCCTCTTGTCTCCCCCACTGTCTAAATTGTAAGCATCTAGGTGCAATGACTTTGTGGAAGTTTTTATTTTAAACTTGTATTGCTTGGTAAAGTGTTACATATGCTGGTAACACCAAGGAAAAATCAATTTCACCAAAAGATCCACAAAGTTTAGCAAAATAACACTTTGGACCTGGATTTCTTTCCACGGTATAACATTTCATTTTTATATAGCAGTTATGAATGCTTCTCCACAATGTGAAACAGCACAGGACTGCTATATCAGTCAAAAGAGTTTAGCAGTACTTCTATAATCTGCTATAAGGAGCAGATTACAAAGGAAATACCCCCCACCCCAGAAAAATGCATATGAAACCAAAGAATTCCAAAGAATAACTCTTTCCTCCAAAAAGAGATCGGTAAGCAGGGCTCAGCTATCTTTGCTACAAACGGCACACGGATTTCACATTTCAACACTGCTTTTTTTCCAGGTAATAAGTCTGCCATGGCCTACTGCCACAAAATAAATTCCACACGGAGCCTTTCAGAAACAGACGTGGCCTGCAAATCCAGGCGGTTTAGGGGGTGGTAGTGGAAAGAGAAAGTTCTTCTTAAATATGCCATATGTTGCTGGATCCCAAATCCATTCTGTCAAAATCTCAAGGAGTAACAGCCCCCCCCAAACAAAAAAAACCCCGACCACCCCATAACGCCTGGCTGAAACTGTACCCTAATGTAAAGCTAAGATGGACGGGGTATATATAATAAAATTATTATTAATTATTACTAATATGCTGCTCTGCATCCCTAAGGTCCACGTCAGCTGCTCCCGCTAATGCCCATTAGGAAATCTGCCAGTGGCCCCTTCTCCGACAGCCACATCCCCAGCCCTGTAAAGAGCGAGGGGGGAGGCAGCGGGAGAAAGGCCCACGGAGGCCGAAGGGGCCAGAGGCTTCCTGAGGGCCAGAGGCCAGGGCTGCATGGAGGGCTGCGCCGCTCGCTTAAGTGACACGTCCCCACTAAGCCCTCCCCAAACCCCGTCATGCCGGCAGGATACTTTCCAGGCCCAGGCTATCGCCGAGGCCGCCCGGTTTCGGCTTCTCATTCTCCTTGTTCTCCTCTAGGCCCGCCGCGGAGCCTCCGCTGTTGCCTCCGCCGCTTCCACCACCTCCACGGCCGCTACCGCCGCTGACCACCTGCCGCTCAGCCGCCATCTTGCGCCTGTTCCACTCGCGGCGCGAGGCATCACGGGACGGGAGAGAAGAGCCGTCGGGAGCGCGGGGCGTAGCGGACATGGGCGCTGAGGATGACGGGAAAGAGGAGGACGGGGCAGGGCTGGGCTTTCGAAAAGAGAAAGCGCTTTAGTAAGGGGCTATTTAAATGGTTGAGGCCGCCCCCGAGCCGCTGCACATTCGGGCAGAGGGAACTGGGGCGGTACGTCAGCAGCTCTGTTAGCATTTAAAGCTGAAGCGGGGAAGCCGGCCCGATTTTTTTTTTTTTGGACTCCAACTCCCATCAGCCCCGGCTAGCGTGACTAACGGCCAAGGATAATGGGAATTGCAGTCCAACAAAAACATCTGTAATTCCCTAGTCCCTCCGCGTGTAATTGTCTAATTGAAATATTTGCATGCGCTTACCTAATTTGCACACACACACCCGCCTGCTTCGTTTCCCTTGCCTTCAGCTGCTGTTTCCCTGAATCTATTTTTATATTTTAGGTTGTGTTCTTGTAAGGCCCCGTGTACAGAGATGGTGTTAATAAAAGTGACGAATTGTTCTCATGGCAGATTTGAGCAGAGGCTCCTCTTTTAAGTTCTAAAGAGCGATCCGCTCAGCGGAACCGCTGCAGCAGCAAGCTCCCCAATACGGAAGACTGCTGCAACTGCTGTCTGAGCACTGTTAGGGTATCCACTTGGGTTTATTTAGTCAAACATTCATTTTTCAGAACCAAGGGAGCCCCCCCAAGGCAGCTTACAAAGCCAAAATAGCACATTAAAAACAAGAAGAGAGCATTAACATCAGCACTAATAGAAACAAAATCAATCAGAAGGAGCCAGCTGAACATGTATTGGGAGAAAGTTTCATAATCCACCATGATTGCCAATTCAGAAAAAAACAGACATTGGAAGGGTTCCTGTACCTTTAGTAAACGTAAAGGTACCCCTGACTGTTAGGTCCAGTCGTGGACGACTCTGGAGTTGCGGCGCTCATCTCGCTCTATAGGCCAAGGGAGCCGGCATTTGTCCGCAGACAACTTCTGGGTCATATGGCCAGCATGACTAAGCCGCTTCTGGCGAACCAGAGCAGCGCACGGAAACGCCATTTACCTTGCACTTTGACATGCTTTCGAACTGCTAGGTTGGCAGGAGCTGGGACCGAGCAACGCGGGATTTGAACTGCTGACCTTCTGATCAGCAAGCCCTAGGCTCTGTGGTTTAGCCCACAGCGCCACCTGCGTCCTTTAACAATAGACAGCAGTAAAAAAGTGTGTTTTCCAACCAGGGCCGGCTCACGACATTTTGCTGCCTGATGTGAAGGACAAAAGCGCAGCCTCCCCCAAGGCATATACAAAAGCCAACTGGACTGATAGTTGAATCTTACCCCATTACTGGTGAATGAACAATATCCTCCCCGTGCTTGAGGCTAGCATTGGGGACACATGACACTCACAGGTCTGGCCACTCATCACAGCTCAGCACCTGCTGCCTGAGGCAGGTGCCTCATCATAGAGCCTGCCCTGTTTCCAACTTAGAGAAGGTTTGAGTGAGAAAGCTGCAGATGTTGAATTTTCTGTTTGGCCTGCAACAACTAAAGGCATGGGAACCTGCCATGAAAAAGATCCCGCGGCAGCTGCCCCAAACCTGGCACACTTTGTTATTCCAGAGAGTTTCATACAGAGATGTCCTTTTAGAGCTCCATTATTCTCCAGCTGAACAGGCACCCCACAGATACAGTCTCACTGCTGTGCCGGCTTTAGCATGCTTACACAGTTCTGCAGAGTTCAAATGGCATTCTTGTGCCTAATATGTTTAACGTGCAACTCAAATGTGTGCAACACCAGGACACTGTAAAAAAAACATTCTTGTGTTCCCCAGACTTTTGATAGCAAAGCCAAGCATTTTTTAATGGATTAAAATGGGAGACATGCTTCCCTCTTACACCCATAAAGGTTTATGTTTAGAGTACTGAAGTGCTGAGAGAGAGAGAAGAGGAGATCATGAGTTATAATGTCTGTAATAACATCTGCTTAGGCCAGCATGGCACTGGTCATGGCTGATGGGAGCTGGAGTGCAGGGTCACAGGTCCCCTCCCTGCCCATGTGTTAAGCATACTAGGCAGTTCTCTGGCTATGATTTTGGCCTTCCAGGGTCCTCCAATGGACATTTCACTGCACAAAGATCTGGCTGGTGGTGAATAGGTTTCTCCCTTCAACCCCAAATGAAGGGGAAGGAGAGCTGGGCTCTGAGTACGTGTGTTCTGTTGACATGTGTTACTGGAGTGTAATTCCCCCTCAAGAGGAACATGCTGGATCAGACCAATGACCCATCTAGTCCAGCATTCTGTTCTCACAGTGGCCAAGCAGGCATCTGTGGGAAACCCTCAAGCACACTCTCCCCTCTTGCGGTTTCCAGCAACTGATATTCAGAAACTTTACTACCTCCACCTGTGGGGGCACAGCATAGCCATCATGGCTAGTAGCCATTAGACCATGGATTTGTCTAATCCTTTTTTTAAAGCCATCGAAGTTGGTAGCCTAAATTGTCTCCTGTGGGAGTGAGTTCCATAGTTTAACTGTGTACTAAGACCTTTGGGTTTTCTTTGTCAGTGAAACAGCCACATGTGGAGGGGGAAATTGGACTCTCCTTGGACTGTTCACAGGCTCCAACTTGTTCAATCCATTTTCATCATTTTTTCAGAATGTGAGTCTCTCAGCAGTAAATTAGATTTCTTCTCCAGACATATTTTTTAAAAATTGAATTGTCACGTTGACCTTATAGGAGGGTTTTACTCTGCCCAGTAAAATACATCACATTCATAACTGCTATTTTCGCTAATATATTTCCCATTTGCAGGTCTGTGCGTACTGCATTTTAAAATGAGAGTGGCATCAAGGCGCACACATCCTTCCTTCTGCCCTGGGGGAAATGCACTTTAATATTAATAAAGAATTAGTAAAATTCTGCTGCAGCTCATTTCTCTTGTGTCACCTCTATTTCTGTGCAGCTTGCTTAAATCCACAAGGGCTTTTGTTGTGGCTCCTGAACACTTTCAGCTTTTCTTTTCTTTTGTTTTTTGTAGTTCCTAATAGAAAAATGGATGCAGGCTGATTTTCTGCCTCCAGTGGATGTTTTCAAATATTCAGTGCCATATTGTGTGATGACAAGAATGAAAAGATTTCTTCCCACATGACCATTCCATTTCTGATTTTATACCTCAAGTTCCTAAAATGACCTTCTGTGATACCTGTTTTCAAAGGGCATGGTGGCTGAGATGTGTCCACTGTCCACTTGCTAGGTTCAAAGGACAATAAGCTGGATGGGAACCTTAACTTCACAAAAACAGTGACTTGCTCAGAAGGTTTCATAGACAAACCAAGATCTGAACGTGTCTTCTACATTCAAGCAGTATATGCCCCTGTCCACTGCAACCCAATGGCTCTCAGCAGTTCAACAGAAGTCTACAACATGATGCGACCTGAAATATACTCGGAGTCCTATAGCGATTTCATGCTCTTTATTGCAGCTTGTAAAACAGTGATTGAATTGCCCCCCAAACCTCAGGCTTTTATATACAGTGGTACCTCGGGTTAAGTACTTAATTCGTTCCGGAGGTTCGTTCTTAACCTGAAACTGTTCTTAACCTGAAGCACCACTTTAGCTAATGGGGCCTCCCTCTGCCATCGCGCTGCCGGAGCACAATTTCTGTTCTCATCTTGAAGCAAAGTTCTTAACCCGAGGTACTATTTCTGGGTTAGTGGAGTCTGTAACCTGAAGTGTCTGTAACCTGAAGCGTATGTAACCTGAGGTACCACTGTACATTATTTACACAATGAGTCCCGTCTGATTGGCTGATTCTGCTTCCCTCCTGGAGCCTGATTGGTCTTTTCCTGCAGGCCAATCAGTTGTTGCATTCTATGATCCTACCAGCCTAATAGGCTGATTAACTTCCTCCTGGAGCCTGATTGGTCTTCTCCTGCAAGCCAATCAGTTGTTGCATTCTAGGATCCTACTTGCCTATTGTTCTAGGATCCAAGCTTAGTACATAACACCCTAACAACTTGGGACAGGTCTCCTATAGGAGCACTTGCAACCCTGCAACAATACACAATAGTTGAGTTCATCTGGGGGGTCACCAGGGGGCGCATTGGAAGATGGCCGACAATAACATCTCTCCGACCCACACGAGGTAATTAAGAGGCTGATATGGGAGTATGCAGCCTCCCTTGCCCCCCAAGGGAATGGGGGGGCTGCCTTGCCAGCTGTGTCCATAATTCACCCCCGGATTCGAAAGAAGGGGGTGACCGGGCACTTGCAATGAAGCCTTCGGGTGAGGTTGGCTCTCCCTGACGCTGTCTCTAATCGCGCACTGGTTAGCATTAGCTCGAAATATATAATTGGAAATATATAATTGGAAAGAAGCTAATGCACATACATCAAGTGAAGATCGGGAGTAAAGACTGCTGAATAATGGGATCTCTGTGAGTGGAGTGACGGGCTGGACAATAAATCAAGAATCAACATTAGAAGATCGGTATGTCGGACTGAACCGGAAAGGGGGGGGGTAGGAAAAAACTTTTCTTTTCTTTGTCTTATGTGAGTATTCAATAACCCTCCCCTCCAGAGAGAAGAATCGTTGCAAATTATTAATCACAAGCAGGAGATTAAGAACTGTGTGGAAAGCAATTACTGATTAAAGACAGGACTGGTGGAAACATCGAGGAATGGAAAGAAAGCTTTATGACGCAGTTACAAATAAGACAGGCTTGCGCACAGATGGACGAGGGGGAGGAGGACCAGGGTCATCGGAATGTGAATGTATGGTGAGCGAAATGTGATCTTGACCTGGCAGAGCCCCTTGAGATATAGATTGGCAAGCCTGTGGAAATCTACGGACAGACTGTGGGAATGTTTTCTACGGAGGTGTGGAAATGGCGTCTGTCCTTTATGTAATATGACTCTTGGAGAGTGTAAAACCCACACAGGATATGTTTGTTTTCAACCCGCTTGTGAAGATTATCAGAGATCACAAAGAAAGGAAGACTATCTGGACAGAACTGGATAGAACTGTTTAATTAAAGCAGCAGCAAGAGTGATGTTTGGACCCCTTCGAAGCTTGAAGTATGGGTTACCCCAACAAATTTTTTTTAAAAATGTCTGTATAATTTGGAATTAATGTGATTTGGAATTGATGTGATATGATTGGCCTGTTAATAAAAATTATATTTTTTAAAAAATAGTTGAGTTCATCTGGGACACCATCATTTATTAAGGGTGCTGAGAGTTTTTAGGAGACCTTTATACCCCCTCTGAGGGGTACAATTCCAAGAGTGGTTTTGCAGCCTTATTGGAGTTCAGCGATTGGGTCTGCGTTGCTCCCGGACAGGAGAAAGGAACTCAAATGACACCGAGGGTTGGTTCAGAGAAAGAGTTCTTTATTTCTGCTCTCCAGAAGAGCAGAAAGGGACCTGCGTGGTGTGTCCACAGCAAGTCCAAAGAAATGAGAAATTTCATGCAGTATATATATACTCCAGGCACCCTCTCCCTCCTTCCCCAGGAATCCAACCATGTCAGCCTATACACGCAGGTTGACATCACATATGTTCCTGCTCTGGTATTCTTAACCATAAAAGGGTATTCCTTCCTGTACTTCTGACCATAAAAGGATATTCCTGTTCCTACTCTTATCTTGGAGCAAGAGGTCACCATCTCCAAGAACAAACTCTGGCGCTGTTTCCGGACTAGGTCTGTGCGTCAGCATGTAAGATAAGCCCTAGACATGTCATCACTACTCGGCTGGAACAGCCAAGGCCATCCCTTGCCGTGACTGATAAAGGAGAGAGTTTGTTTATACAGCTGTGTCCTTGTTATGCATTTGCTCATCAGCTCAAGTTTTATGCATTTTAGAAATGCTAAGAAGAAAAGGGGGGGTTTTGAGTCAGTTTTAAACTGACTGCACAGAAACCCATTCCTTCAGTTTAACCATCAGTTCCTCTTCACAGGGAACTATGGGAATTGTAGTCGGGGTAGAGTGCAGAGGTATCAATATCATTACTTTTTCTGATCGTTCCCAAGTTGTTGTATATGATGATGGGGTTCATTCCAGATATATGCTTATTTTCATCACTCCCCACCAGCACCATGCCTGGCCCAAATCAAGGATTGTTTCAAAGTTGTTTGGGTAGGAGACAGCTCAGTACAGAAAAGCAGAAACATTCTTATTTTCTCCTCATACACTCCATACTTGGTATTTTCTGTAATTTTCCATCTACTTCTTTTCTATTTTAAAAAATCAATAAAAACAACAAAATCAGCTTGCAAGCCAGCATTAAGTATGCCTTTTTATTTGTGACAATTCAAGTGTGTGGCTGGCTGTAATAATTCTAAATTATCCCAGGATTCAGTTACCTTTTATTTTTTAGCTGTAATTGCCAGCAGCATACCAGCGACAGACAATATAACAACTAAGACTTAATAGTGTCTGGCAAAGAAGAAAGTTTTTCAGACATATTTTGCTAACAACAACAACAAAATGAATGGATCTTCTCATATTTGAACTATTTTTATTTTATTTTCTGCTCCTCTGGAGTTGGCATCCATTTTGTGCTTGGCTACACTGCTGGTGGCAACCATTTTCTGACTGGTGCTATCCATGCCTTTTCAAAATTCCCAAAATGCCCCTGGACCAAAAAAAGGTTGGAGACTGCTAGTCTACAGATAGCCTCTCCCTTCTATTCCATGTCACAGATCTTGCTGGATTTGACCAATAAAGTGCTTATAGCCAAAATCACTACTACCCTTATTCCACAGAGTAGAGAGCACACCATATGGTATGCAAGTTAGCAGCTATGTGGTGGCAGCAGCCCAATCTGTTCCGATGAGGGTGCCTCTATATGGGACTTTGCCATTATTCTAATTTGGTGCTTTGGCATACAAAAAAATGGTGTGTTGTGCCTCAGTGGTGGAGCACTTAGTTTGCATGCAGAAAAGCCCCTGCCATTTCAATCTTTGCCATTTCCAGTTAAAGCTATTAGGTAGCAGGGGCTGGGAAATACATTTTTTTCTGCCTGAGACCCTGGAGAACAACGGCCAGTCAGCATTTCCTCATGATGTTATTATTTGCTCTGACAACTTTCTCATTAAATACGAATTTATGGAAACTGTCAAAGAGAAAGGGGGCAGAAATAATAATAATAATAATAATAATAATAATAATAATAAATGTGGTTTTGCAAGGTTTTTAGTACAGAAACACTAAGAACAGAGAAATTGTAGGCAGCTCAAATACTCTTATCGCCAAGGCTTCCCATTTTCTCTCTGTGTAGAGGATGCTGGTATTACTCATTCTGCCATCAACGAAGAAAGAAGCAAATCATATTTTACAGTCGCTCAGCCTGGGAACACCATGGGATTTGGAAGAATTGGGATTTGTAAGAACTGGGAACACCATGGGATTTGGAAGATGAACTTACGGATGTACTCAGTGCAGGAGACTGGGAGACAGTTTCTTCTAAGAAATATAAACATTGCTTTGGAAAAATTGGAGAAGAGCCCAGAAACATCAGGTTATTACGTTCACATTCTTCCTCCACACACAAGAAATGATATGATGTTTTATTAGCACTGTTCCTCATCAGTCTAAGCATGATCTTCGTTAAATTCTAAATCCTCAACAGTAAGCGTCATGGAAGGGAGTTCCCAAGGGTCATCTAGTCCAACCCTGTGCAATTCAGGAATCCATGACAGATGCTCATCCAACCTCTGCCCTGTCTTCAAATAAAGGACGGGTTACCTGCCTTCCATTGCTGAAAGAGAAGAAGAGTTTGGATTTAATATCCGCTTTATCACTACCGAGTCTCAATGGCAACATTCTCCTGTCCGTCTCCCCACAGCAAACACTCTGTGAGGTGAGTGGGGCTGAGAGACTTCAGAGAAGTGTGATTGGCCCAAGGTCACCCAGCAGCTGCATGTGGAGGAGCGGAGACACGAACCCGGTTCCCCAGATTACGAGACTACCGCTCTTAACCACTACACCACACTGGCTGGGACTCATGCCTCCAGCATTCTGTATTCTGGACTGCAGATTCTCCACTGCTGACGGTGATTCGCATGAGCATGGTGGCACATTTTTCAGCCGCTATACTCAGCAGAGATATGTGTAAATATCTGAGCCAGCTGCATGTGGTAGCTGTTAATGTGTGCACCACTAGCTCTTACGTATCTTGGAAGATTCTGCCCCTTCCCTGATGCACCAACAAAGGGTTGAACAACAGTTCATCCCACTGCAGTACGAAGTTATCATCAAAGGAATGTCAATTTATTTATTACTAAAGCAATCCTTCCGTTCTTCCAAAAGCACATGGGCAAACCCCAGACTTGCAAACACTCTGAATGTTCAGTGTGTGTAGTATGTATGTGGGGAGGGGTCTGTGTTTCCATAGATACCATATCCTTTTATTTTAGCTGTTTGTCTCCCTGGAAACAAGAGGCAGGCTTGACTATATTAGTCCCCCAAGCATAGCATGGATTCAGAACACACTGAGCGCTATATTAAAACGCCCATAAAAGCGCAACTGGCAAGAAGTTTAGTCCTTCAGCTTCGCACACCTACAAGAGTGGCTGCCAGTGAGGGCTTCCCTTCAGAGAAAAGGCAGCTGTCTGAAAGGCACTCCAGCGCCATACAAAGTCGGATGTTTGCTGTGAAAGGAAATAAACTTGGAGCTTTAACGGTACCGTTTTTTAGAAAAACTTGATGGCAGGCAGAAGTCCAGCATGTGAATGGGACTTGGGCTGAGCTGAAGAACTGCAAAGAGGAGAGTCGCTGTGCAAAAGATCTGCTATGATGGAGATATTTTCTTATAAGAAAAGTTGACTTCCAAACAGAAGCCATCTGTCTCCTCCTGGCTAAGCCTTTCTCCATCGTCTCCTCCCTAATCAGGGCATGCAACTTGCTTCCAAGATGAACAGAACATTGCCCCAGCTAAACTCTTCAGGAAGCAGCGAGAGCAGCTGTTGGCATCTGGTGTCTATCCTCATTCCTCTAGCGTATTCTCTGATTTTCCTGGTAGGGACGGTGGGCAACTCTCTGGTGCTGGCAGTGCTGCTGAGGAACAGGCAAGTCAACAACACCACCAACCTCTTCATCCTCAATCTGGGAGTGGCCGACCTGTGCTTTATAGTCTTCTGCGTGCCCTTCCAGGCCACCATCTACACCCTGGATGACTGGATCTTTGGGCCACTCATGTGCAAAGCAGTGCACTTCTTCATCTACCTGACCATGTATGCCAGCAGCTTCACCCTCACAACTGTATCCCTAGACAGGTGAGCAAGCAGTTGGGGAGCGGGGGGGGGGAGTTTGGACTTTTAGAGTCACTATAGAGTATCAATATCTCCGCAGCTGCTAACGATTCCCTGCCTCCCACTTCCTTGCATGCATGTAAAACTTTGTTTCATAACTTTCTCATTGTTCCATCAATATACTTAGTGTTTTACAAATCCAGGACAATGGATCCAAAAAGGAAACATTGTCTAGACAAAGGAGGGGCCCCAGAATAACAGCATCACAAGGGTCATCTTGTCTATGCCCTTACATCAAGAAGTCCCTTCAAACAAATTATCCCAATACTATACAGACCACAGTCACAGAGTCACAGTCAGATAGATTGTGAGATTTGGCATTCTTTTATTTCACATGTCAACACATGTCCAAAGGCTTCCCGACTCCTTTTGTTGAGGTAAACCTGTCTTAAAATTTAACTCCAGTATTTGCACCCAAATATTGGGTGTCACTCCAAATATATGCAGTTGGTGTTCTTACAATGACAAAAGTAAATGAAATTTTTGATATGAGAATCTATATTGTTCATATGGTTTTGGTTAAAAAAAAGAAGAAAATTGTAATGTGAAAGCATTTTGTTGCTGGTGAAGTTATGTTGTAAATTGAAAATAAAAAAATAGGGGGGGGGTAAAGAAGGGTTTCTCTGAAATAACTACTTCCAGACTGCTTGAAGAGCATATTCTTTGGGGAACCTCAATGTATCCTAGCTGCTTGGTAAGTGCAGCTGTATATTACACGATTATGAAAACCTGTTAGTCACATTCATATATGAAATAATATCCTGTGTTACAGATATGTGCATATAGTGAGGTTAGGAGGAAATGAAATGCAGAGGGTGGAGGAAGAGAAATACAAAAAATAAAAAATAAAGACACTGATAATTACTTTATTAATATTGACTATGTAAAAAAAAGTTGTTGGTATTACAGACTGAATTGGGACACTGGGTGGTATGTAGCTAAGTTTTACTCAGAGTAGACCCATTGATATTAATGAACATGATTGAGTTAGGTCCCTTAATTTTAGTGGGTCTACTCTTAGCAAAACTAGCTGAATACTAAGGTGAATTTTTAAAATTTGTTTTTAAAAAAATTAAAATTGCATTCCACGTTAATTGGCTCTCCAGTGCCAGAGCTATCAACAACAACTTTGTGTGTTGCAATTATCACCATCTGTACTATTCTACATTTCATTTCCCCACAATCTATTCACACACAAACACACACACACACACACACACACACACACACAACACGTCATGCATCCAACAAAGTGGAAATTTGTCAACAGAAACTTAAGGCATAATAAATTTGCTAGTCTTTAAGGTGCCACAAGACACTTCGTTGTTTTCACATATTGAGTTAAGGAGCACGATTGTATGATAGTGGACTCTGGTGCTGCCATTTCATCACAGGGAGAAACTTCTCCAACATTCAAGATATTATTTTGGCTATCACATTTACCATCATAACCACGCCCTGTAACTTTGGTTTCTTCCCACATACAGTATTTACTAGATTTGATTTGATTTAAATGCTGCTACCACCTCAGCATCGCGACCTTCTCTTGCTTTATTTTTGCCTTCCTAGGTATCTGGCCATAAGGTACCCTTTGCATTCAAGAGAACTGCGAACCCCCAGGAATGCCCTCACCGCCATTTGTCTCATCTGGGGCCTTTCCTTCATCTTCTCTGGACCTTACATCAGTTACTACCAGGAGTTTCAGGTGGCCAATGTTACCGTCTGCCATCCCATCTGGAAAGTCTCTCAGCGCAAAGTTATGGACCTCTGCACTTTTGCCTTCAGTTATGTCATTCCTGTCCTGATTCTGAGCCTCACCTACGTGAGGACCATCCGTTACCTCTGGACGTCGGTGGACCCCATTAAAGACATGTCTGATTCCAAGAAGGGCAAGCGCAAGGTCACGCGGATGATCATCATTGTGGCTGTTCTCTTCTGCCTTTGCTGGCTGCCCCATCACTTGGTCATCCTCTGCTTTTGGTTTGGCTACTTCCCACTGAACAACGCGACCTACGTGCTCAGAATCCTCTCCCACCTGATTTCATACGCCAACTCATGTGTCAACCCCATCGTCTACGCTCTGGTATCCAAACATTTCCGTAAGGGATTCAAGAAGATCTTCAGTTGCCTCTTGCACAAAAGAGTGACCAACAAGGTTCATGTGGCACAGGTGACTCACACAGTGAGCATCTTGGAAGCGGATCTGACAGAGGTGATACACGTCAGTGAGCCCACGCATGCCAGGGCCTCCAGCTGCTGTCAAATCCCCATCCAGACATGGGGTGAGGCAGAGCAGCTGAGTCGCCAAGAGAGAGTCACCAACCCTTTCATCACTTTCAATGTCACTTAGAAAAGTGCCTTTTCTCTAGGCTCTAACCAAAGGATGAATTCCTTGGCAACTGAAGGATGTAAGGTTTTAAGAACAGAAGATAGTGACTGAAAACACAAGAACCAGCAGATGGCTCCAGCCAACGATATTTGATTGTTCATGGCTCCCTTCTCCACCAGAAGCCATTGCACTATCCAAGACTCTGCAAGGCAAAGCTCACAGTATACTGAGCATGAAGTAGCGCTACATGCAGAGAACAGCACTGGAAGGTGTCTTCATTTCATTTTGCACATTTTTAAAGTGGCTTCAGTTATTGGTTTGTTTTCATTGTTGTGCATTTTGTGTTCTCATTTTGTATTTTTATGTTGTGAACTGCCCTGTGATCTTTGGAGGAAGGGCATTATACAAATTTGGTAAGTAAATAAACAAATTAAAATAAAACTCCGTTGAAGAGATTAGCTGATCAAGCAATTATTGTACTGGGACTCTGGACTCAGCAGTGTATTACAGGGGCCTGGGGAATGGGGTTCTATAGCCTAAAGGAAAAAGAGAAGCATTACTACACCAGAAAATGAGACTGGCTGGTTGATTGTGTCAAGGACTCTGGAATCTATTACAAGGGTAAACCATGATCTCTCTGTGCTCAAGTCACAAAGCCCCCTTCAGGAGCAGTAGAGTTTAGTCCCTTCACTGCCAGCAAATATGAATCTTATAAAGTCTGTCTATCTGTCTGTCTGTCTGTCTGTCTGTCTGTCTGTCTGTCTGTCTCTCTCTCTGTGTGTGTTCTATGTACTACAGATTCTAACTTCCATCCTTCAATGTAGAGATGGGAAATCTGTGGTCCCTGATCAGGGCTTTCCCCCCCAGCCAGAACTCACCGGAACTGAGTTCCGGTACCTCTCGGGTAGGTGCCATTGCCATTCTAAAAGAACAAGGGAAGTGTTCATGGTAAGTTCTGGCAGCTCTTTTTCTAGAAAAATAGCACTGCTCTAGATGATGTTGCGTTTCAGTTCCCATCAACCCCAGGCAACATGGCTAATGGCCAAAGATGATGGGAGCTCGAGTCCAGGAACATGTGGAGAGCCACAGGTTCCCCATCTCTGATCTTGGGCACCCAGAGTGGGCCGTACACTCTCCAGATCTAGATTTGAGTCCAACAACTCATGGTTCCAACTGGCTTTGACGAGTTGTGAATAAAGTTCATGGTGGGTTTAGGAATCTTAAGTCTTATGCTTAGTTTTTCTGTCCAAAGAATCACATTATTCTGTCCATAAAATTTATTTGTACTGTATCGTATCTTCATTGCTTATGCTTCAATCTGTGCATACTTAATGTGAGAATAGGCCCAACTGAACTCATTGGGAGTTATTTCTGAGTAAACATGCATATGATTGCACTCTTAATCACATGAGTTTAAACCTAAAAATAAATTCTTGTATCTCACAATATTCCCCCTACTCACTGCCAAAACAACAGTATCCAGTCAATAGGTTTGCCAATTTGTTTGTTTGATTTGCTTTCCTAGAGTGAGCAGATTATTTTCTTCATAGGACCCACTTCTGTTATCATGCCTACAATAAATCAATCAATTTATGATGGTGGAAACAGAAACAATAATGATGTATAGCAGATGCTTTTGGTCTGTATAATAAAAGATACCCAGTGTGTGTTATTTGTTTGCTGAAATTGTGTGTACAGTCAATTTCATTCATCCAAAATAGTTCAGAAAATATGTAAGGCTTTTTAATAATCTGAAGACCATAAAATGAGGACCCTACATGATATTTAATGTATATGATGCAAAACAAGGGTGTTTTTCTATGGTATATACAGTACCACAGTGCAATCCCACAGTGTTTAGGAATGAGCGTTTACTGGGGGCAAAGTCCATGTTTTTACATCTTGGTTATAGCAAAATAGGACAGTATGTCAAGTTGGACTTGAGATGCTAAGAGAGAGGAAAGGCTTTAAAGTAAACTTTATTATTCTGATTACTTGTGCAATGTAGTTAGTGCACAGATAAGTTTTCTCTCTCTAGGGAACATTGCACACACAAAACTATGGTCATGGGTTACAGGAAATTTGCATGTATTATATGTACAAATAATACAAATTGCAGATCTTACAAAGAGGCCATTGGGCCATGCCTGGTGGATATATTTTGCTTTCACCCTGATGCTATTTGTGCAATTTTCAGCACAAAGGAATTTTCTATATAGCTTGGACTTGATGTTCAGTGAACGGAAATCTCAGCAGCGAGAGCTGTTTGTTGAATTTTGTCAATAAAAGCTAGGTCAGTGGCTGAGGTCCTCTTTTGTGTTCCATCTCTTCTTGATAGATAGGTACAGATTATTCTGTATGAATCCTTTCTAACTCCTGGTATCTGATTGATGACAGTTGATATGGATAATGCACACAGCTCTGAGTACAATATTCTATAAGGAAACTTAATCAAACCACTATTGTGGATTCCAGCAGAAAGTCCTTAAAAAGTATTTGTGCAACATTATTTTTTCAGTTCAACCTCCATGGAGCTTTCTCCTCCTCCTCCTCCTCCTCCTCCTCCTCCTCCTCCTCTTCCTCTTCTTTTTGTAACTGGAAACATAGGTAAAGGTAAAGGGACCCCTGACCATTAGGTCCAGTCGTGGCCGACTCTGGGGTTGTGGTGCTCATCTCGCTTTATCGGCCGAGGGAGCTGGTGTACAGCTTCCGGGTCATGTGGCCAGCATGACTAAGCCGCTTCTGGCGAACTAGAGCAGCGCATGGAAACGCCGTTTACCTTCCCGCCAGAGCGGTACCTATTTATCTACTTGCACTTTGACGTGCTTTCGAACTGCTAGGTGGGCGGGAGCAGGGACCGAGCAACGGGAGCTGACCCCGTCGCGGGGATTCGAACCGCCAACCTTCTGATCAGCAAGTCCTAGGCTCTGTGGTTTAACCCACAGCGCCTCCCGCGTCCCAAACTGGAGACATACCAAATTCAAGACAAACGAACAATCCCAGAATGCAGAATATATATGGACTAGTAGAGTAGCAAAGTCTCTCATCTACACTCCACAAACCCCCTTGGTCCTCACCTTTTGGATCCTACCTCCTCTTCTGAGGTTCTTGGAAACTTTTGTCTGACCATGTCAGCCAACCTCCATTAAACCTTATTGTATCCAGAACTGGTTGTTCCTACGTCAAGGTCTGCAATGCTCCCTATCAATAATCTCTATATTTAGTCTAACAATTCTTCTGGCATGAATCATGCACGGTAACTGTATAAACACATCCTTTATATATATATATCTTTATTTACCTCCCTGGTCCAAATGTTCTACAGTAGAGGGATATATTTAATACGCATCTCACCCTTCTTCAGTTCCTTCTCATGCCTTCTCTTCATCTTTTTCAAGTCCTCTGGCTGATTGACAGGTTTCTCTCTAATGTTTCTAGCTAAGGGTTAATGTTTCTGAAAGAGGAGACACTGTGGCAGTGGTTAGCTACTTATCTTAGCTTGGTTCCACTACTGGAGAAGGAGTGAAAGAAGGAGCAAGATTTCCATTGCTAAATTGTGCACATGAGCAGAAGGTGGGAGGAGCTGAAGAAAAACTAACCTTGACCACCGCAGTAATTTACAGCCTGTGATATATGCTACTGAATACTCATTTCATAACATAGCAACGAATCCACTATCTGGGTGGAATAAAATTGCAGCCATACCACCCACTCCCAAACTGATTTTCAACAGGTGATGTAGGACTCTCTCCTGGTTCAAAATAAATGTGTCCTTCACAGACAGAGCTGCCCCAATACATTTTGGTTTCTAAGACGAAGACAAAGATGGCACCTCCCCTCATCCTATGTATAAAAGCTGACCAAACTGACAACTGAGGCTTACTTCAACATGGAACAACATCTCCACTACAAATGAGGGCTACCTTCAGGGTGGTCTGGTGAGGTAGCATGAATCAGTCCACTCCCCACCCCTCAGCATTTGTTGCCTAAGGTGGCTGCCTCACTCTGCCTCATGATAGAGCTGGCCCTCTTGAGAGAAGCACATATCCTCACCCAACTCATTTGGGAGTGAGTGTGGTGTGGTGTAGTGGTTAAGAGTGATAGACTCGTAATCTGGGGAACCGGGTTCGCGTCTCCGCTCCTCCACATGCAGCTGCTGGGTGACCTTGGGCTAGTCACACTTCTCTGAAGCCTCTCAGCCCCACTCACCTCACAGAGTGTTTGTTGTGGGGGAGGAAGGGAAAGGAGAATGTTAGCCACTTTGAGACTCCTTAGGGTAGTGATAAAGCGGATATCAAATCCAGACTCCTCCTCCTCCTCCCATTCTTCCTCTTCTTCTTCTTCTTCCTACAATGGAGGCAGGTTCAAGGAGAACTAAAGGAAGGAAGCTATTGAAATTCACAAGAAAACTAACAAATGACTATTCATACACTGAGAACTGAAGCATGTGCATAAGGAGTTGTCCAGTGAAAGTCACTTAACTCAGAGTTCAGGAGACAGATTCTAGAAACAGAGGTGAGTGGAAAAACCAAGAATAAAATATAAAATACTGATAGACACAAAAGATAGAGGAGGTTTCTCCCTGCTAGATATGAGATTATATTATGAAGCATTTTCTCCATTGCCTTCTTTTTGCTATTTGGCAGATTATAAAAGCAGGCATTATGCAAGGCATTGATTCAATTCCCTTGAGGATGCATCTGAGGAATTTACACACATAAAAGTGGATAGGGTTACATGTCAGGCTGCCCCTGCAATTCTGATGAGCAACTGCAGCTAAAATGGTCATCTTAACTCCATCTAGCAATTAGGCCACTCAGGACCACTTCAAAAGAAACTAAACCCCCCCCCCCAATTTCGTCAAGTACCATGAAGCAAAAATCTCAAGTCTCTCAGAAATGTTCTCTACAAGTAATCTTTCATTAGATTCTCTTGCTGCTGATTTTTTAAAAAAACACAAACGGAAACTCAAGAGAGGTGGGACAACCAGCCACTGCTCATTTTCACCACTTGTACAATTT